TTATAGATGATTGAAACAATAGTATAATGAACAAGACTTTAGGATTTATTTAATTGATTTGTTCAGCTGTTATAAATTTTTATTTTTATTTATTACTCAATCGCATGTTTTTTATTCCAAACAAACAATCGGAAGATTTAACTTTGAATACCAATAATAATAATTAATGTATTTATTTTGAGAAAAATTAATTTTAATGAAGAACAAACCGGTCTATCCTTACAAGCTATCCAAGAGTAACAATATATCTAATCAACAACATTGTAGTAAAGGATCATTCTATAAAACAAACCTACCAATCAATTATAACTCAACAAATTACACATAAAAAGAGCAAGACTAATCTTATATAAAACTTAATAAATATAATTTTTATGGTTTTCAATATAAAAATAATTAATAATCTCTCAAAAATAAAATTAAGCAATAAAATCTATAAATGAATCAAAATAAAATAACAAGTCAAATTCCTCGATCAAAATCTTTCATAGACTTATTGAAAGTTTAACCGTACTTTCACATAATTTTCTAGTATTGAAATAGAAAAAAATAAAAACCTAGAAGTTGCTTTTTTAGATGCTAAACTTAATTTTAAAAGCTCTTATTTATATTAAGAATAAAATAGGAGTATTTGGTAACTAAAATAACAACCTTGAGAATTTATTTTATTTTATTTTTCTTTCCGCACAATCTTCTCAAATAGAGGTCGGAACTTGGTCCAAGGTGTGGAACCCTGCATAATTTTGTTTTTGTGTAACACTGACCAAGGGTTGGAACTTAGTCCAGGGTGCGGAAGCCTACATGCTTCTGTGTTTCCTTTTGCGTTGGTCATGGGCAACTTCACAAATTTTTCTCTTAATAAAAAATAGAGAAAATCCCACTTCAGCCTTCAAATCTCCAAATTTAATTCTTGGATCCTCATCTTTCTAACTCTTTACATTTAAGTCTTTTTCTTTTAATTATTTCCATCTAATAATCAAACCTTTAATTATAAGAAATTTGTACAACATAAATAGAATGAACAATTATAAAATTACTTGTAAAAAAATACAATTGTTAAACCTATAATTTCACAAATATCATTAGTTAAACACACTTTAAATATACATTTTCATGCTTTCATTA